GCTCACTTGTTTTCCAAGATTTTGGAGCGTATTGTGTATAATAGATTTATTATTTTTTTAAATACCAATAATATTCTTTACAATAAATAATTTAGGTTTAAATCTGGTCATTCAACCGATTACGCAATCATTCATCTAGTACATGAAATATTTAAAGCCATTGATGAAAAAAAAATTAACCTTTGGCGTTTTTGCTGATCTAAGTAAAACTTTTGATACGGTAGATCATAATATTCTTCTATATAAACTTAACAATTGTGGTATTAAAAATTCTAACTTCGTTCGGTTTAAAATTTATTTGACGAACAGGAAACAGTACATCTCATTCAATGATGTCATTTAAAAGACTTGAGTAAATTTTTAAATATCGTAAATTCAATCGCTATAAACCATTCATTTAGTTTTGCAAGGAATTTGCAAAACTAAATGAATGGCTTATAGCGAATAAATTTTCTATAAATATTAAAAAAACAAAATAAACTTTTATTCCAACGTTTTCATGTAAAAGAACTCATTCTTTTAAAAATTCATTATCTCTTTGTTAATCACTCTTGTATAATACCGGTTTTTGTATTTAATCTGGTGGATTTTTGCATTCAATCTGGCGGTTTTAAAATTTATATCAATTTTATAATGCATGTTATGAATTGCTCAAATGATTAGTTAAAAAAAATATTCTATATATTCCAGTTAAAAATAAATTTAGATGTGTAACAAATAGTATAACCCAATAGCATTGAGTAATGATAATATTAATGATAATAATGATAATAATAATAATAATAACAATAATAATAATAATAATAATCATATTAACAATAATAACAATGATAATAATAACAATAATTAAAATAATTATGTGAATAAAAAAACTTTTCAAATAGTAGGGGAAGACGGGGCAACATGGCGAACGTTTCGAAAATCTTTGTTTCCTGCAAGACTACCAGTCATAGCTCACTAATATTTTGTCAGTATGTATTTGATACCCTAATCTTTTAATATTCGCCAAGGTATTTAGTTAATTACAATAAAAACATACCCAAATAAACAAAATAAAAAAGTCCTTAAATTTTTCATCTTGCCCCGATAGTGGGGCAAGATGACTGAAACTGCGTTTTTCAATTCACAATCAATTAGACATTGGAAAATGTAACTCAATTAACTGCAAAACAAAGCCAGGTTGCTCATTTTTTATACACACAGAAAAAAATATATACACTAATCTATTAATTTAACTTTACACACAGATACCTACAAACATGTATACAAAAAATATATATACATATATAGCCCCGCTGACACAATTATTCTAATTCCATCAATAACTCTATTACTCTACAACAGCTGCACAAACATTTACTATAATAATATTAAAAAATGTTTTTTGTACCAAATAATAGTTTCGCAGCATGCAAAAGGCAGCGTAGCCTAAAATAATAAGGACCAAACTGAAAAAAAAAAATTATTTTAAAAATCGTAAAAATAGACTTTTGTGAATAAATCCACGGGGACAATAACTACAAAAACCAAATGTTATTTAAAATAAGACCCATATAGACAGTTTTTATTACTATCTATTTAAACTATTCATTATTGAGCGGTTCGGCTAGAAAAAGCAATTCGTCATCTTGCCCCCTTCGCCATGTTGCCCCGTTCTCCCCTAACTATAACATGATAACTTTACTAAAAATTATAACTAATGATAAAAACTATTGTAAAAATAATTATAGCAAAGTTTATAACTATGACAGAAATTATTAAAATAAACATAACCATAACAAAAATTAGGACAATAACTATAAGACTATTACTACAATTGAATCACTATCACTATCATTATAAATAACTATAAGACTATTACTACAATTGAACCACTATCACTATCATTATAAATAATATTAATAAGAGTTCTAAAACAAAGATAAATTAATAATAGTAATAATAGTATTAGAGTTAAAAAAGATACAAAATAAACGTAAAAATAGTTTATAAATACAGTAATATAAAAAAAGCAATAGTAATAAAAGATTTAATATTCATTAAATAAAAATAAAAATTTCCTAATTTGGTTTCGATTGAGAAGAAAATGTTAATAATAAAAGGGTACTTAGTTAAAATCTTTTTTTTTATAAATGGTGTTATTTGCTTCCAGTGAGAAATACGTTGATGTTTTATAGGACGCTTGCCATATTTAATAGTTAAAAATTTCAGTATTTCGAGTGTAATATTTGTGTGTTACTTGTTTTAATAAAAAAATTATTGAACGAATTTGGTAGTTTATTTTGAAGAAAATCAAACACCAAGAGACAATTATAAAGCTTTATAAGATCTTGAAATTTTAGAATTTTTAAATCTGAAAACTTATTTTGGATATTAGATCGTAAAGGAGAAAATGTAGTAATTTTTATGGAAGTGCGTTGTAAACTGTTTATACGATGTAATAGATAGCTAACTTTTTGCCCCCAAACAGTACAACATTAACTTAGATGTGAGGAGAACAAGGATAGTAAATTGATATAGGAATATGTTGGGGAACATAGTGTCGTATTAATGACAACATACTATTGGCACGTGAGAGTTTTTTATTTAATTGAAATAGTTAATAGTACCATGATAGGTTTTTGTCAAGAAATACCCCGAGGTATTTTATATATTTAGATCGGAAAAGTCTTTTACCGTTAATTCTTATTTTCACATTATCACTATCAATCTTTTTTTTGGAGGGTGAAAAATAAAAAATTCAATTTTATTGATATTTAGAGAAAGACGGTTACTATTTATCCAATCAAACAAATAATAGTGATCTGAATTAACTTTTTTACAAAGCTGTGCCAGTGATTTATTTATGCATAGAAGATTAGCGTCGTCAGTGAAACGATGAACAATTGAATTATTTATCGAGTGAGGCAGATTGTTAATATATATTAAAAACAGTAAAGACCCTAGAACAGAACCCTGTGGGACATCATACTTAATAACTTTACATGTGGGTTGAAACCCATTAGTCGAGACAAACTGAGTACTATTTTTAATATAGGATGAAAACCAAACATTAGCTATACCCCGTATACCATAGTGATACAATTTTTCAATTAAAATCTTATGGTCAACTGTATCCAGGGCCGCCAAGAGCCTTCAAGCCGCCCGGGACAACAACTTTTTTAGCGCCCTTATGGATTTCGCTTTTTTTCTTTTTTTTTTAAGTTAATAATGTGCTCTAAGAAGTCCTAATGGTCTTGTCACAGAACACCGCCACAAGAGAGAACAACATTTATTTAGTTGGCTTTCCGTTTCCAACTTCACCGATAACGTTTATGTGCTTCGAGCTGGGATCGAACCCGCAACCCTTGAGTCACGAGTCCAATGCTCTAACCACTGCGCCACGGCTCATATATATATATATATATATATATATATATATATATATATATATATATATATATATATATATATATATATATATATATATATATATATATATATATATATATATATTATATATATATATATATATATATATATATATAATATATATATATATATATATATATATATATATATATATATATATATATATATATATATATATATATATATATATATATATATATATATATATATATATATATATATATATATATATATATATATATATATATATATATATATATATATATTATATATATATATATATATATATATATATATATATATATATATATATATATATATATATATATATGTGATGGTTCCCTCGTGGAATATATATATATATATATACAAGAAAAGTGAAAAAATTCCACGAGGAACCATCAAATACAGCCCACTACCACGAGCTGTGCTTCGAGCTGGGATCGAACCCGCAACCCTTGAGTCACGATTCCAATGCTCTAACCGCTGGCGCCACGGCTCATATATATATATATATATATATATATATATATATATATATATATATATATATATATATATATATATATATATATATATATATATATATATATATATATATATATATATATATATATATATATATGATGGTTCCTCGTGGAATATATATATATATACAAGAAAAGTGAAAAAGTTCCACGAGGAACCATCAAATACAGCCCACTACCACGACGATACAGAAAAGAATTTTGATATATATATATATATATATATATATATATATATATATATATATATATATATATATATATATATATATGTATATATATATATATACATATATATATATATATATATATATATATATATATATATATATATATATATATATATATATAGATATATATATATATATATAATATATATATATATAGATATATATATATATATATATATATATATATATATATATATATATATATATATATATATATATCAAAATTCTTTTCTGTATCGTCGTGGTAGTGGGCTGTATTTGATGGTTCCTCGTGGAATTTTTTCACTTTTCTTGTGCGTTTTATTTTAAATTCTGTTTCAAAGCCTAGGTTTCCAGTCACTAGCTTTGCTTCAGTCAAAATACAAATCCACGACGAACGAATGTGACCAAGGTCATCTAGAAGTAGTTAAATGAGGATGACTTCTTCTTCAATGGTGATTGACTCCGAGATGGAGGCATTGACTAACATTATCAATATTTTGCAGTGTCTTATACCAAATGGGCAGAAGAACTACTGATTCAAATGACTTAAAATATTTGCCCAACGATTTCGTTTGATTCAACATGTCCGCAGTTAGGTCAAGTTGATTAACGGTTCTATCCAGAGCAGCAATGATTTCTCGTTGTTTTTTCACAAAGGTTTTACAGCTGCTATGTGGGCTGACCATCTAGTATCTGAGAGATTGTGAAGTGATAAAGCAGTCTCTTCGTGAAGAATTTTTCATCTTGCTGGGCTGCAACTAAAAAACACGTAGAGGGCTTGGATATTGCCAAAAAACGTTTTGATCTCAGCGCAAGACTCAGCAGCATGAACTCCAGCTAAATTTAAACTTTAAGCACCGCAAGGAATGTATAAGGCGAACGGATTTTTTTCCAGTATATGAGCTTGGGCTCCATTATAGATTCCAGCCATATTAGAACAATTGTCGTATCCTTGGCCTCTCAATTTTTGTAAATCGAGATTCACTTTCGCTAAAACGTTGCAAATTAAATAAGCAATATCTGCACCTTTCTTTTTCTCCATATCTTCAACGCAGAGAAATCGTTCTTTAACTTCCCAAATCATCTTACCCGAGTTGAATCGCACAAATCGAAGAATAAACGTGATTTGTTCGGTGTGAGATACATTTGGGGTCCCATCGGTAATTATCGTAAAATATACGGCATCTTTTACTTCTTTCATAAAGGCTGCTTGAACTAATGTAGCGCATTCACTGATGAATTCATTTTGTGATTGCCAGGAGAGATAATGAGCTTGCATTCTGGTTCCTTTATTTTGATGACGAGCAACTGTTTCAAGATGATTCTTTACTGTTTCGTTGTGACGAGAAATAAGTTCAAGGCAACTTAAAAAGTTCCTTTTCTCGTTCTTCTCCATCGACGAATATTGCCCTAAAACAATGTTTTAGGGCAATATTGGCAAAGTTAGTTAAATGTAGATAATAGAAATTCTGTAATACTAAAAATAAGAACTTATTCTTAAGTATTTAGAGTTCTGGCCTAGAATATTTACCTATAAAGGATAAGTTTTGAGATGTTAAAAATAAAATTGCATCTAAAATACAGCGAAGTATTTCACGCCATCTTGCTACTTCCTTTTCTGATGCCTTTTGAAACTCTGAGTCGATCCCGCGCTGATTGACAAGAGCTAAGTGCAAAGTCTTCCAATTGAGATAATGACTTTGATGAACTGGGTTGCTATGATGACTTTATATGATACAATCACTCAATTTTCTCCAGTCATTTTTTATTACTCCATTCCAGCGAAGAAGAAGAGATCGATCCCCATAGGATCCGGAATTTTCACACCCAAATAAAGAACACGGGAAACAAAGTAGAGAGTTAGACGATGGGCTCCATATCAGATAATTTCGTTGAACTTTTTCTCCATTAGGCAATGCAATGAAAAGAACTTCTTTTGGAAAGGCCCTGTTATTAGAAGCATCTCGTGGGAAATCATCAGGTAAAGTTGACGGACCTTTTTTGATTAACTCTTCTTTTTCTCTTTGCTTAAGAATCAATGACCAGAGTGCTGGGTCATTTTCAACGCGTGAATTAAAAAAAATTAATTAAAACCTAATACTTAATTAATTATTTAACTACTTTGAGTTATTGTTTGTATAAAAACCTTTATTTTCTTTGGGTTTTAATTCATTGTTAAAACTGTCGTCTGTTTCATTTTCCACTGAACCAAGAGAATGTAAATCAACATCATCATAATACGATGATTCCATTGTTTGTTCTGATTTATTTAATTCCACCGACTTGAAAAATGTTTAATTATTTTTCTTAAATTGCTTCGGAAATAAAAGAAATATATTTACTGACCTATATATTTCTACTAACTCACCTTCAAATCAGTATTTTGATTAGTAGCTTTGCAAAACCAACTTAATTCTTGGAGCGTTTGTTTATTTTTTTCACAGTCTTTTGCCCTTTTGTAAGCCAATGCCCGATTTTGGGCACCAGAAAGTTTTTTACGATTCATTATCAACAGTTACTGTAAATAACAGTACACATCAATAAAATAATAGCCAAGTCAAATACGCAAACTCATCAAAAAATAATAAACTCAAAAAGCTAATGTCATAAATCATTATTTCAATATTTAGATATAAATAAATCGTAAACATGAAATACCATAAATAAGTCGATCATAACGAATAGTTGAAAAATAATTACTATTACTTTCTAAATTCTGAATAAAATTATTTCTATATTGTATTCACAGTTTGCTATTGCTAATTATCAATGTTTGCGTTTTTTTTACTTTAGTCTGATGAATGCAAAAATCTCAAGGGACATTTTTAATTTAATAGCGTATAGAATACGAAATCAATGATGAATTCGTATTTTTTTTAAACTTTTCGAGGAATAAAAAACAACGATATAACGCGAGTAATATATACATTTTAATTATAGAATTTTAAGAGTAAAAAAACTATTTTATTTTACTTCGGCATCTGGCGCCCCATGGACACCTGCCGCCCGGGACAAACTGGTGTGGTCCTGGTTGCCCCCCCCCCCCCCCTCTCAGCGGCCCTGACTGTATCAAATGCTTTTTTGAGGTCAATAAAGACGCCACAAGCAAAAGAACCACTATCAATCGAACCACGATTCATATCAATAACGCTAATAAGTGCACGGGAAGTGGAATGTTTTAAATGAAATCCAAACCGGTGGCCATAGAGACACTTAGAATTATCAAGAAAGTCATAGATACGAAAATAAATTAATTTTTTAAGAATTTTGCTGTAATTTGATAATAATGATATTGGTCTATAGTTATTGCAGTCAAGTTTTAAGTTTTAGAGAAAGAATAACTAATATTACTTCATTTTTTTCAGAAAAGAGAGTCAGGGTTTGATGTTTTTAAATACTTATGGAAGTCAGTATGGGATGAATGAATACTTTTTTGCAGTTATTCAGCGGTTGAAATAAAAAAGGAGTTGAAAATTTCCGAGATTTTAACTGGATCATTTATAATGGTATTGTTTGAAGATATACAAGATGGATATGAGATATTAATATTAGAACTCTTTTGAATATACGTTCGAATGATATCATTCGAACGTATATTTAAAAAAGTTCTAATACCCTTCCACGTAAAGTAGTAAAGTAGTTTAAAAAGTGGTTTTTGCTTCTTCGATTAAGTGTTACAAGTAAATTTTTAAACATTGCTTGGGGAAGTGCAAGCAAAACCAAGTTGCATACTCTTTATCATCGCCTGTAACACGCAATACTCTTAATTTATTTTAAAAATTGTTTTTCGCCTACTACATTTTTATTTAAAGATATTAAAGCATTTAATGTTTATGAAGTCAATGCAATATATAATTTTATGTGTTATGATTCAATGTAAATTTAAACCAACATTATTTTTTTATAAGATTCTCTTACCTTAAAAACCAAAAATAAGTATTCACTACGAATTAATAATTTATTATTTAAACTCTTTCGTCGAACAAAGTTTAACCAATTTTTTTTTTCCTCACCTTGCACTAAACCTCTAGAATAAGACAGTTTATCTAAAAATTCTTCCATAAAATACGTACGTAGACAGGTACGGGGAAAGGTTTTTTCAAAAATGTACAAAGTCATACAAGGGAAGGAAGAGAGTTTAAGACAACAAGTATGCGCTTTCTCTCATTCTGTACCTCTCCATAAAACTTGATTTATTTATTTTTTAAAAAAACCCTTAAATTTCATGAGTTTAAAATTTAATATTATGTTAGATAACAGAGATGTCTAATAACTGAAAAAAAAAAAATTTTTAATTTTTTTAAATATTTATGCGCTTGGGAAGGAAAAGGAAGCTCTAAATCAAAGATTTTACTGCGCACGTTCTTTAAGGATGCCACCTAATTTTGTTCTTAATTTCTTTTTATGCTTTTAAAATAAAATTAATATTTAGTTACAATATTTTAAAGTACTTTTGGAAATCAGAAGATTATATAAACATGTTTTTTGTTTGTTTGTTATATATATATATATATATATATATATATATATATATATATATATATATATATATATATATATATATATATATATATATATATATATATATATATATATATATATATATATATATATATATATATATATATATGTGTGTGTGTGTGTGTTTGTGTGTTTGTGTGTGTGTGTGTGTGTTTGTGTGTTTGTGTGTGTGTGTTTGTGTGTGTATGTATATAAAAAAGGTTTTGTTTCTTTAAAACTGAGGTGGTACATTTAAAAAAAAATGTATTAACTGATATAAATTACCCACTATGCATCATGTATCTTTTATATTATTGGTATTTTTGGTATTTTTATTTGTATATTATTGGTATTTTTATGTTATTCTTTATGTGTTTCTTGATTTTTGTATTAAGACTTCACTTAAGAAAATTTTATGACATAACACAACTTTATATTTTACTAGACATAAATTAACGAAAAAAATCGTGCAATATATGTAGTAAATATTATACAAAGCATCGTAAAAAATGAAAACACCAACGATTTCTAAAAAAAACGAAATATTAATATTAATAAAAAAAATTTTAGTAATAATTTAGAAATTGAACGTAAGTTAAAATGTAACAACTATAAACGTAAAATTATGTAACTTTGTAAAAAGTAAAATTTGTACAAAAAGTCCAAGCCCCCGGTTTGATATAGATACAACAAATCCACTATTCGGGTTTAAAGCAGTAAATAATTTTATTTTAATAGTTACATAACTTAACAGTTAAAAATGTTTGTACTTTGTGCTAATTTTGCTACCATTTACTTATAATCAAAATATAGTTATAAAAAATATTAAATTACTTACCTTATCTGCTTTTTCTTCATTTAATTTCTAAATAAAATAAAAAAAAAGAAATAAATACTTTTTTTGTAAAAACAAAATTGTTTTCACAAATCAAACTCAAACATTAAAATCCCAATTTTGAAATAAAAACGTCTAAAACAGTTTGACGCCTATTAAAGTTGGAAAAATTGTATTTTACACGAGTTGGATGAATTCGGGGTTTTGTTAAGGTAGAATTTAAATTTTTAAAATTTATAAAACACTGGCAATTCCTAACTAGCACACTATGTTTGGCTATTCTTGAAATAAAGTCGAAAGTGTTTACGATTTTAATTAAAATAGAGAAAGTCAATACCAAAAGCGATAAAACAGTATTTAAAAAAATAAAATAACATTATCCAATATTGCTTTAGAAACACTAGAAAAAATAAATCACAGCTTCATCAACATCATCAGAAATACGCCATACACTTAATATATTTTCAAAATGCATTCACAATTATTGTTTAAAAATAAAAGTTCTTAATTTATATGAACTAAACATTTATAGAGTTTTATCTTTTGTGTTTTAATGTCTTAAAGATCCAGGATTACTTAGTTTCAATTTTTTCACATTAAAAACAAAAGATGAATATATGCGAAATAATAATTTTATTTAATGAACTATTTTATCGAGGAGAAATTGTCAGTTTTGTATTGTTAACCATGCACTTTATTTGCTTGCTTGATTTTGACTTAATGCTAAAAAAATACATTTTTAGCATTAAGTATAAATATTTTAGATATTTTAAAGAGTTTTTAGTTTTTTGTGTCATTTTTTACTTTTTAATGGCTAGTCTGTGTTATAAATATCTGTTTACATGCAAAATGTGATCTATAACATTTTGCATATAAATATACAAAATAAAACTTTACAAATATAATATACATATATACAAAGTATACTTTTCATCGTTTAAATTTTAACATTTCAAATCTTACAAAACCTACTAAGTAGGTTTTGTAATTTTTTTAAAACATTTTTTTTTTAAATGTCTCTGAAATTACGCGAGGTTAGAGTTATTTTGTTCTATCTCCACATTTTTTTGTTTCGAGATAAAACGATTTAAAAAATAAAAACTTTAGGAGACGGCATATAAAAAGATTTTTATTACTTATGTTTTCTCCGAAACTTTTTTGATTTTAACTTAGGTTTTAATATAGTAGAAAAACATTATTTTGAGGTACATTAGACAATTAATAACTCATTTTTTTCAAAAAGTGGAGATAGAACAAAATAATTATAACCTCGCGATTAATTGATTTTAATTTAGGCGTTTGTATAACGATCGATTTAGGCGCTTTTATAACGAGCGTTTTTATAACGAGCGATCTAAAAGATAGAAAACAAGTCTGTGCGGCTGCATCAGCTGGCAACCAAATGCTTGGCAGGCTAAAGAAGGTTTTTCGAGGTTGAGGTTCTACATTATGGCGCACACTGTACATTTTGTACGTTCGCCTACACTTAGAATTCGCAGTACAGGCCTGGTCACCGTTTTTAGCTTAAGATATTGCCAAACTTGAGCAAGTTCAACACCGAACCACAAAACATATTGCCTTTCTTAAACACCTTTCATATGCTCAAAGACTATCAAGCCTTAACCTGACAACACTAACTGAACGACAAAAAAAAAGGAGACCTTATAGAACAATATAAAAGCCTGACCAAAATTGATAAAGTTAACTTTCACGTCCCTCAACTTCAACCTAACACGGAATCTTCAAAGTACAGTTTTCGGCCGCGTGGACACACTAAAGAACTAAGAGCACAACTTGTCCGAAACTGCGCTGAAAGAAGCAACTTCTTCACCAACTGTATTGTAAGATTATGGAATTCTTTAACTCAAAATACGGTGGACGCAAATAACTTGAATAATATTAAACATGAACTTTCTCTGCTACGGCATTTTCAATTAAGCTGAAATTGAAAAACTGTATTTTCATAACAGAAAAGCCTTGTGTGCCGCTCTTTGTTAAAAAAAAAAAATTGTAAACTTATTTTTGACCATGAATGAATAAACCTGACCTAACCTAACTTTAATTATGTGTTTTTTATTATAAATAAAAAACTATTGATCGCACAATTATTTTGAAAAAACTGCTGAAGTAATGCGTTTGTTTTAATCAAACGGCAACGCTTGCATAAGCAAAATTAAAAAAACGTTATGTTTGTTTTTCTTTCTGTCTTTTAAGAAATGATCGCACATTTGTCGATTTGACGCACCTTGTTAACTTTTTAATAAAATTTTAAATTTGCACCACAAAACTTTATTAAATTTCATGGCACTTTTAAACAGCCTAAGTCACTTACGTTTTAAACATCAATTTCTAAAAAAAAAAAAAAAAAATCTGAGTGGGAGGGGAGGGGGAAGACGCCCTCATGACCCTTTTCCTCAGTATTGATCCGACCTTGTATTAGCCTATTTATTCATGGCAAGGAATGATAAAGATTATATTAAAGCTGTGATAATTTTTTTTTTACTTTCGCTTACAATTAAGTTTACATTAATAAATATTTTGATTTTTTTCCTGGTTTTTCTTTTATTTATTTTATCATTCTTTAAATATTTTATTTTCTTAGGTTAACTTTTGTATTTTATATTTTTTTAAGGATTTTAGAATCTTTTCAGTTTATGAATTGTTTATTTTAATTTTAATTTTCTTTGTTTTTTTATTTTATTTACAAAAGCAACTTTAACATGTCTGGAACGCATTCGCGTCATGGTCTTACAAAAGTGTTTTGTAAGACCATGAAATTCTTTTCAATTATTTTACAAGTCCGTAAATTTGCATTGATTGTCTCTCTAACAATAAATACGGATTTCAATACAGTTATTCTACTATTGGCATCTTAACCATTATAAAAGAAAGGTTTTATTTGGCATTAAATGAAATGGGTGCGGAAAGAGCTATAAATTTTAACATATTAAAAGCTTTTGATAAAATTTGGCATGCTGATTTACTCCATATACTTACTTCATATGGTGTTTCTGGGAAAGTTTTTTATACTTATCAAACAACTCTTTTTTGCTATTAATATTAAATTCTTCTTGTTGAATCTCTTGAAATGAAAAAATACCTTGAATACCTATACTTAAAAATCTCATATTAATACTTGTATAAATTACAGTTGTCGATTTCCGGTCCTCATTTGAATAAGGTTTAAAACTACATCATAAATGTCATTGAACCTCATTGTTACATTTGTTCCACTGCTTCATCTTTTTTTTTTTTTATAATTATTAACCAAAACTCAATCAAGCAATTCGTCATTAAGATAAGTTGCATCCAATTACTGTAACTTTTTTTTTTAAGCAAATAAAAACTTTTATTCATCAACTTTTTTCTAAAGCATCAATATCTTGGAATTTTCTCTAATCTTCATACTTTCCTGTTTGACCTGAGAATTCTTCTGTCAACTTCTTACTTTTAAAGTCTCTTTTTGCTTTCTCTAACTCCAAACAAGAGGCTTTCAGCTTTGTTGAGAGTTTATTAAAAACAAGAGGCTTTCAGCTTTGTTGAGAGTAAGTTTAACTCCAAACAAGAGACTTTCAGCTTTGTTGAGAGTTTATTAAAAACAAGAGGCTTTCAGCTTTGTTGAGAGTTTATTAAAAAAAATTTTAAACTTATTATACTTAAATTAAGATTTTATTATTATTTTGAACCGCACTTTAATAGAAAAGTATAATTACTCGAAATCAATAGCATCGCAACACACTTTGTGGCCCGAAATGTGGACTCGGTGGTCTATTGACATAACTCATCTTTTTAACAACATTTCTGTAACACAATAATAAAGTTGATAGCTTTGAACACTATTATAAACTTGATGGTTTCTTGGACTTTGTCTATCTTTTCTGCTCTATCACAGCGCCAAAGAAACATGATTTTAAGGAATATTCTTATTCTAAGCTACTTTCTTTAGTTACCATTTCAACAAGCCGCCATTTTATACGTACTTTTGTAATTTTTTTTTTAATGTCAATAAAACATTTATTATCTGGCTGAAGAGAAAGTTAGCTTATGTGTTAGTTTAAACTTTGAGGGTAGTTGCCTCTAAATTAGTATGGAGTTGGCATTGGTAAATTTTTTTTATTATTTATTCTTTATAAAATACCTATTTGTATTCTTCATTTTCTTCTTCTTTTTTGGCAAGCTAAACAAAATTTAATTCAAACTAATAAATTGTTTTAGTGATAATTAATTATAAAATTAATAAATAAAACCATATTAATATAGCTAGTCCTGTTAGAGTTTAGCACAAATTTATTTAATTAGTATATCTTTTATATATGTATATGTATATATATATATATATATATATATATATATATATATATATATATATATATATATATATATATATATATATATATATATATATATATATATATATATATATATATATATATATATATATATATATATATATATATATATATATATATATATATATATATATATATATATATATATATATATATATATATAAAAAGATTTAGAATAAGTGCTCTAAAGCTTGAAAGTTTATATATTTATGATATTTAATTAACGTAATTCTAAAAATGAGGATCGGCGATGAAAAAAATTTAAGTCTTCTAACGCTTCACTTATTTCATTGTTTTTTTAAATAGAAATTATAAATTTAATGTTAAGCGACAAACTGCTGCTAGTTAAGTGTTATTGGGCACATAGTGTTATTGGGCACATATTGTTATTTGTAAGTGCATAGTTATATATAAAGGTAGTTAAATTTTTAAGTTATAAGTAAGTTTTTAATGTAAAAACATTAAAAAAAAAAAGTTCTTACCTTATTCTTAAGATCGCCGGCTTCAAATTCAAGATCTATGATTCTTCTTTTTAAATTAGATATGTAGTCTGAATCCATATCTACGGTTTGTACACCACCAAAATGTTGTTTTACAAAACTACACGTGTCAAGATTTTATCATAGCTACAGCATTGTAAAAAATCTTATTTTTTGATATGTACCTCTGTGCTCTGTGATAAGACCGTAAGGACTTGTTGAGGCACCTTAATCAACTTGAAAAAAAAAAAATCAACAGAATACAGTCAACTAAAACGGATATAGAGCCGTTTGTTTATGAATTGGTTTTTACTTTTAATTGTTATTGTTTGTTTTATAAGCAAGAACTTCAAATAGTTTTATAATCATACAACAGCATAATACTAAAATTTATCTAACACTATACTAAAACTCATACTTATAGATTTAAGTATTTTTAAAAAATTATTCAACTTTTGCATTTCGTACACTAAATTAAAGTTGACCGATAATACTGATAAAATTTGTTTTTAAAATTGATAGTTTGATAGCCAATGAAAAAATTATACTTTCTTGAAGCACAAACTGTTTGAATTTTTAATAAATGTTTTATCAAATCTTGTTTAACGTGTAATAGCAAAACCCCCTTTTGTATTACTGCCACAGCCGGCATTAGGTACTAAAAAGATGTCTTATGAACGTTCAAAAGACGTTCTGAATGTCTTTTGAACGTTCAAAAGTTGTCTTTTTAGGACCAAATGCCGGCTGGGACGATGCTTTTACGACATTTAAAAAAAAAGTCAATAAGGTCTGGCGGCTAAGAAATCTGATTAACACAACTTAATAAATCTTTGATTTATTCTGAGCAATTTATAAAATACTTAATTTGAAAAGATACTTTATAGCATTGGTTGGTTTTTCTGGTTCATCATAAAGCTCATTCAAAACTAAAACATAAAAATACTTTACAATAAAATACAATAAAAAAAGGAGTAAATTTAATTTCGTTGTGTCTAGTGTAACGGTGCTGTTGCTTTAATTTTTTATCTTAAAGTCTTGGTAGTAAAGTTTGGTTAATTGATTTATAGTCACGGCTGCGAATATTATTGGTTGATTTTGAAAGTTTTATTTGTACAAATTCAAAAAGAAATCTCTCTTTGTATCTCTTTGCTTCATCTATCACGGTGACCCGGGTAGATAAACCAAAATCAAGTCCTTCATTCAAAAAAAATTTTTTAAATGTTTTTTTAACTATTTTTTATTGAAAGTTATTATTGTTGTATATTGAAAGTTATATTGATTTTCATTATTTACATACATCGACTAATATAGGGATAGGCGTAATGAGTGTACATACACCGACTGATTTATGGATAGGCGCAGTGGAGCCACATACATCGATTTTGGATTTTGGTTCAGGCATGTATTCTTTAAATAAAATTTTAAAAAAAATCAACAAATCAGAAATCACTACCGTGACGTGAAAAAAATTTAAGCGACGGTACGTTGCGCTAGACACAGCAATTTAATTTAATATTAACAAACTATGTTTAAGTATTAGGTTGGTGGGTGTAAACTCTATACAGTATTACATTTTGTACTTTAGTTTTTTAACTTATGTTATGAGTAAATTGTATACTAATGACAGGTTTAATAACAAAGTTTTTTTACATTGAATTATAATAAATACAATAATAATCAGTACAAATAACTCGAAAAAGATGTAAAGATCATAAAAGTAAATTAAATTTTTTAAAAACTGTTGCAAATCACAAAAAGAATTTTATATAAATAATTCAGCGCAAATTATTTTGGTTACTAAATTACTTTACAACATTTAGGTGTATTGCTGAATGACTTTTAGTTGGTACAACATTTATGTGCCTTGCTGAATAACTTTTAGATGGTACAACATTCAGGTTTATTGCTGAATGACTTATCCAATGATCCATTACATTAAATTATGTCTTTTAAAGGATATTTTTTAATAGAGCCTAACATTCTTTTTCTGGTATCCAAAATTCTTTTTGAGCTAAACACGTATAGCAAAGCCTAGTTTTTGAATAACAGCATTTTTAGGACGCATAAATTAAAATATAGGACGCATAAATTGAAATCCCTTAAATGCCATCTATTAAAACCACATTAGCACTCAAACTAGATCTAAAATATTTTGACCATCAGATGCTTGGTTATATTTAAAACTTTTGCAAATATTTGACTTCAGGGGTTTTCAATTTTTGATTTCAGGCAGGGGTGGCCAAAGCAATTTTTGGTCTTCGATATATCTAACTTCTAGACATGGAGCAAACTCCAAACAGTTATATTTTTATACTTATGTCAAATAAGGATGCTTTGCAAAAAATAGCAATGATATGAGCCTGACAATAAAAAAGCGCAAAAATTTTTTACCCCTGCCCCAAACGTGAGAGCAACAAGTTGATAAAATATTTTTGGTACTATTTTCATCTAGACAAGGTCTTTATCTTTAAGATAAAGAAAAAAGAATAAAATAAGAAAAATAAACAAAATAAAAATATAGAGAATGAAAAGAAAGAAAAAAAGAAATCAAAAACCAACAAAAACCAGAAAAAACCAAAAAAAAAAAAATATATCAAACAAAATTAACAAAAGAAAAAAGAAACGAGAAAAGAAAAAGGAAAGACAAAAAACCAAAGCTAAAAGAAAAAAAAACATTTGAAAATGGAAAGGAATTAAAAAGTTATTAAAATAAAATATAAAAATTGCTTCGTTTTTGAAGAAAGAAAAAATAATATTTTTTAAATTTTATTATTTTTGAGTGAGTATGTGTTTGCTTGATATGATTTACTTTTTTATTTTAATATTGTCACTTATTATGAAAACTTATATACTTTTCGCGACTAAATGTTTTTGTGTCTCTGACACGTTTTTATTTGTGAGTATTATTGAATAATTTTTGTTTTGTTTATTTATTGTTATTTTTTAATGAAGTGTTTATATTCTTTTATTGTTTTTATTATGATTATTGATATTAAGATTATTATTTTTATTAAATTATTGTTACTTTTTTTGGCAGTAATTGTTTGAGTTAGATGGTTGGTTGTTACGTTTTGTCAGTACATAACTGTTAGTAACTTTCCCGTCTGTGTATTATATTCAATTGTTGTTTTAAAAGTAATATTGGTTTATTATCATATAATTTTCTTATTATTCTTATAACTTTTAATTTATCATCATTATTATTATCATTATTATTTGTATTATCAATTCTATTTCATGGTGTTTACTTAAGATTAGTTTTTAACTATTTATAAAAGACCTTGATTGTATGATTTTTTATCAAAATATATTGTTTAACATATTGATTGATTAACATAAAATTTCTCACAATAGTTTATAACTATAATTTTCATTTTTACCCCATTTTTACACATTTAAATATGCACTAGCTGCAAGACTGATAACTTCAATAACATTTTAAATAATATGGATATCGTTTTCATTATTATAGAAATGTAAAAAAAATACCTTTAAGTATTGTATAAATAAATACCTTTAGCTAAAGCATCAATAACTCCCGACTTTTCAAGATATTTTCGAAATTCATCACGTTGAGAACCATTTAGCTAATTTTAGGAAAAGATAAGCTTAATTTAGTTATTTATATTCATAATAATATTATTTTTAATTGTTGTTGTATACTTATATCGATAAATACCGTGCTTATATATATACAGGGCCGGCGCGAGTAGGTGTCACGTGGGGGGATGCCAATGACGACATTTGCTGACTGTCTAGATAACCAATAACGAAAGGGTCGACATTTGCCGACTAACTAGTCTAAAAGGGTCCAATTTGCCAACTAAGGGTCTAATTTGCCGACTAAAAATCATTGATCGGGGAGTGTCACCCCCCACACCCCCTATCGCGCCGGCCTTATATATATATATATATATATATATATATATATATATATGTATTTATATAAATTTTGTTTAAATGAAAAACAACATTAATTATACACGGCAACCATCAGCTATTAACTACCTAAAAAAACCGTTTAAAAAATCCGTTTAATAAAAAACTCTTTTACAAATGAATTTAAAAATATCTTCTAACGTAATAAAAGATTGTGAGGTAAAAGTTGCAATGACACCCCCCACGTGACACCTACCGGCCCTGTATATATATATATATATATATATATATATATATATATATATATATATATATATATATATATTATTTTTATATATATTATATATATATATATATATATATATATATATATATATATATATATATATATATATATATATATTATTTTTATATATATTATATATATATATATATATATATATATATATATATATATTAGTTATATTAGTATTAGTTATATATATATATATATATATATTTATATATATATATATATTATATATATATATATATATATATATATATATATATATATATATATATATATATATATATATATATATATATACATATATATATATATATATATATATATATATATATATATATATATATATATATATATATATATATATATATATATATATATATCAAAAATCACCAAAAAGTGTGCTTTTATTGAGAAAAAAACACATGTCAATACCAGAAAAAAATTTCGTTGGTAATTTTTTGCATAGACATATAACAAAAAGAGGCACTGTTTTGTGAACATTTTGTGAAATTAGTCTAAAGTTTTCATTTTTTAGGTCAAATGTAAATACTTTGTCTGCAGACCGTCAAATAAAGTTTGACTCACATTACAATAAAAAAAAAACATAGTAAAACTTGGTAGTCAAAGCATTATGACGGGGGATGTTTCTCGTTATCTGGTATTGTTCTTAATTACTTAATAACAAACGATAACTGATACTTATGTTAATATACTTTGAAAAGTTATGCTTTTGTATACTAAAAATAACATGCTGTTGATTCGGATATTTCATCAGAAAATTCATAGAATAGACAATGGAGGTAATTGCTACTCTCTCATTAAAATCTTTTTAAATTATTTTTTTTTTTTTTACTTCTATATATTTAACGCACCGTGTTGTTAAAAAAGAAGGTACTAATATGCTGTTTAAAAATGGTATGAAATTTTAATAAAATTGTAAGATTCTAATTTAAGGGAATTAGAAGAACTAATAATAATTAATAACTAAAAAATATATATATATTTATACTTATGTAATTACTTACACGAATTTCTGGCGTGTTCAAAAGTTGTTCTGACTCGAACATTTTAAAAAACACGCACAAGGTAACTGCGGTAAATGCGGCTACTGAAATAATATATTTAGCATTACGTTTAATCGCGAAAACTTTATTCAGTAGTTTCGTAGCAACAATCAATGATCGCTCTACCTTTCTATTCATAAAAAATATATAACTTTTATATTTGTTATTAAATTTTAATATATAATATTAGTAATTTAATTAATTTAATTAATTATGTATTTCGCCAATATAATAAAAAAAAGTTACAAAAATAAAAATTTACAAACACATGTAGGAAGACAAATTTGGTCTTATCACCAAGCCCCTTAAAATAAAAATTTCAATAATAAAAATAAAAAACAACGTAACTTCGTTAAAGTACAAGACGCTATATAATGTGTGATATATCCATAAGTATATACTAATACAAATATAAAAGAGTTTTAACACTTTTCACTTTTTTTCATTTTTTTAAATGTTTAAAAAAGTATAATAAAAGGTTTGTTTTAATTTTTTTTCAATTTGATTTAATTTTTTAAAAAAATTCAATAAAAGATAAATTAACAAACAAATTGAATACGACAAACGTGATTACTCCTAATCAAAAGCTTATGAAAAAGTATAACTTATTGTCATTTATCAAAAATTTTTGCTTAAGTCTATTTTTAAATTGTTTAAAAAAAGAAATTTAGCTTATTATTTAAAATTATTATTTAAAATTATTTAGCTTATTATTTAAAAGTTGGTTCCATAGTTTAGGACATCTTTTTTTGCAATTGAAAACTTATTGGCATAATAGATTTTAAGTTAAATGTAATTGTTTTCTGAAAAACGTTTTGGGTATAGATAATTTTATATTTTCAAATATTAAGCTAAACAATATAAGCCTAATATTAAGTTAAATATGATGGGTGCCGTTTTTTTATCAACTTTGAACAATAAGATTATGATAACGATTAAGTTGAAGTTGAGATTAAATTTAATAAATAGTGTGAGAAGCGACCTACGTTTCCAATTACTTTTAAAGCATGCTTTTGTTTACTAAGTAGTTTATTTATTTTAGTTTCGTTAGTGCTAACAACAATGAATTCTCTCTTACCGGTTGTTTTAATCTGGTGGTTTTTTGCACGAATCTGGTGGTATTTTTCAATTAAATGCAAAAAACCACCAGATTCGTGCAAAAAACCACCAGATTAAATGCAAAAACCACCAGATTAAATGAATAAAACCGTCAGATTAAATAATCTGGCGTTTTTGCGTTTAATTGGGGGTTTTGATATTCAATCTATTTTCTTTATTATGATAAATAGTTTTGTTTTTATTGCTTCATTTAATTTTGTTTTTTTTTGTTTTTTTTTTGTAGCTTTTTTAGGTGCTCTCAGAAGTCCTTACGGTCTTATCATAGAGAACCGCGGGAGAGCATTTAACAGGAAGTTCACGCCTCCTTTCTTACCAATGTCGCTTGTTGGGCTAGAGCTGGCGTCGAACCTCGCACCTCTGGGTTCTGAGCCAGAACTCTAACCACTGCGCTACGGCTGCTCAACTTAACTTCCTTATATACAATTTAAACCCTTTTTCTCTTATAATTTTTTAAAAATCTTAAATGAATAACGCACGAAGACAATAAGTAAGAAATTTGATCATTAATCATGTGATTAACGAAGGGAAAAGTGTAAAAGAAGAATCGGAACTCGTGCATAGAAGATAGACTTTAATACGACGTTTGGTCCATCAATATATATCAACAGGTAATATCAATCCTGGTATTAGAGGTGATTTTCGACAGTCAGGTTGTACTGAGGAAATAAGAAATAAGCTACATGAGTTAATTGGAGATAACGAAAACTATAATCTACAGGAGATAAAGGTAGAATTAGGATTTGATGTCAATGTCTACATTATGGCGATGGTTAAAAAAATTGAACTATACATACAAAATATTAAGAACAGTGCGGGATCAAAAAGGGGGGGTTATAGCCCCGGACCCCGCAGATTTAGGGGCACCCAAAAATTTTAGAGGACCTTTTTTTTTTTTTAGTCATTTTTAACCTCTGGCCCATAAAAAGGCCTCTAAAAATAGCCCCTGGCCCCAAGAAGTCTTAATCCGCCACTGATTAAGAACCATTAGTGAAAGACGCAATACTGCAGAATTATAAGAAGAAAGAAAAACATTTGTTTCATTGTATTTAAACTTGACATTGCAACAACGTTACAGAAACACCATTTATATCAATGAAAGTTTGTTCAATTTTCATAAGATAAGAAACCACGAATAGAGTCTCCGAGGAACGACCCCAAATCAATGTGTATTGTTATCAAGAGGCCGCAACATAGCTATGATATTAACATTAAATTGTTTAAAAATAGTCCACAGTGAAGCAATAATTTGCGTAGGAGGAACAGCAGATATTTTTCAAGGGTTCTTAAATACACTTAAAAGTATTTTGGGAGAGGAAAAAGAGTTTACCTTGGTGATGGACAACGCTAAGTTTCATCATTCATTATTAGATTTTTATGATAGTTATCGCTGTGAAACTCGTTTTTTTACCTAAATCCTTGTAAAGAGCTATTCTCGAAAATTAAAAATACTAGATAAGGACAAATAAAACAGATCGAAAATAACGATTTGTTAGAACAAATGAGGAACGGTGAGCACGTTACTGAACATGATTTTTCATGTATATATATATATATATATATATATATATATATATATATATATATATATATATATATATATATATATATATATATATATATATATATATATATATATATATGTAAATATATATACATTATTAATATTATTATTGTTAATAATATTATTATTACTTTTATTATATTATTATTACAATTATTAATATTATCTTTATTTATTAGTGGTTTATTTTCCTTTCTTTTCTTTTTTTTATGTTTTAATTTTTTTTTAGTGTTTTTGCTCTTTATTTTATTTTAAATACTTTCTATGTTTTATTTATAGTTTTTTTTTTTTTTTTGTATTTGTTTTTTTTTTTTGTTTTTTCTTTTTTAAGTGTCACTCCATTCACTAGTTTTTAACTATATGAGTGACACCTTCCCTTATTTATGTGAGTTTATAAAATATTATTGTAAATATTCATTTTTTTTTTATTTTTTTTTTTAAGTTGATTAAGGTGCACCAAGAAGTCTTTACGCTCTTATCACAGGGCACCGCGGAAGAGCATTTAATAGGAAGTTCACGCCTTCTTCCCAAATATATATATATATATATATATATATATATATATATATATATATATATATATATATATATATATAAAGCACCTTGATTACAAGGCAAGATGTGATATACTTGGACTAACTTCACTAAGTGACAGAAGAAAATGTGGTGATCTTATCCAAAAATTCAAAATTGAAAATAAAACTGAATTAATCAATTGGCATATTGACCCAATATACATTCCTCCCATATATGGTCATCACAAACGCTTTCATCTCGAAAATAATAGCAACTGCCTCGTTCAACTTTTTCAACAATCAGGTTGCAAATACTTGGAATGCTCTGATGGATGATGTTGTCAATGCCTCTACTATTGCCAGTTTCAAAAAAAACTAGACCAGCAACTCACAGTTACCAAAGTGCATCATTTTCCTTGGCTGTATTGTTGCAGTTTTGCAGCTATACGAGCTAGCTTCCTAGCTAATGATGAACTTACGGTTCATATCTTACTTTAATTCTTATTACTTTAAAAACCTAGGAGTTTTTAATCCCAATAACAGTGGTATTCAGGTTAAAAATTGAAATGTTTGTGTAAATCTCCTGTTTAGGTTCTTCAATGTAGTTCAAATGTCCCTTATGAAATCTTAAATTAAGAGTTTTTAATCCTAAAAAGTTACCGAATTTCTCCCCTTTCTTTTTTTCTTTTCATTTTCATTAAAATTATGTGAATTTTAAACTTATTTCTTTTACTATATATACTGATATTAAAACAACTATTATCATCTTAATAATACTTTTATTTGCACAAAAACTCTTAATTCGATAAAGAGAGATATAAATTATTTGTACTACTTACATACTTGAGCATACAGCGTGAGCTCAGTAACTAACTACTTACTCCAACTACAAAACCTACACTCACCTTAGAATCCTGTATTTTGTCAGATGCAGTGTTTTTCCAAATGCACTTTCAAAATGTCATGCCTGGTTTTCTCAAAGTACTGTTGGGGGAAGTAACTCCTTTTAACTACTCCAGGTCAGGTCAGGATAATCGAGATCAATCTTGCTACTGGTATCACGTAACCCAGTACCACTTGCCACAAGCCGTGCTGCCTTGCAGAGTGTGCTCTTCTTATGCAAAGGCTAGGAGAAATAAACTGCTGCCTTGCAATAATATAACACAAATAAACTGCTGCCTTATATATACCTTATATACACCTTATATATACCTTATATATACCTTATACACCTTATATACCTATACACCTTATATATACCTTATATACCTATATACCTTATATATACCTTATATATTATATACACCTTATATACCTATACATCTTATATATACCTTATATATACCTTATATACAATAATAATACAAATAAACTGCTGCCTTGCAGAGTGTGCTCTTCTTATGCAAAGGCTAGGAGAAATAAACTCCGACAAAAAATTCCCCTGCCTTGGGGCTCTTGGTTGAGTAAAGGCTAGAGATGGTGTCTCGATAAAAACACTCATCTTGGGCAGATGTTAACTGCATCCAGCTACTGTCTTGTAGAATGCCTCCTAGGCAAAGACTTTAGGGGTAAGCAGAAAAATTCTGCTAACCAGCCTCGAACCCCTTCTTTATCTATTAGGCTGGCGTAGATGTAACCTGTGTTACATTGTTTCCTGCCTAGGATAATTAATGCTGGATCTCCTTGACTCTACTCATAGAATTTTGCTTATGCCTCCTTGATAATGGCTATGCAACTCTTCCTGTTATCTCCATATGAGGGTACAGCTCTAAAACTCAGTTTAATGGTTCTGAGGCCAGCTGGTAGTAAGGTTTTCCGAACTCTGTGGTCGCTCTCAGAGAGGCTGATT